TTTTGCACCAGCAGGCGAAATATTTTGTGAATACATTCATCATTTGCTGATTGATTTAAATTTGCCGAATAATGAGTCATTAAAATCTATAATGAGGTAGATCGAAGAAACCTAGTGATCGGTATTCATTTTGCACCAGCAGGCGAAATATTTTGTGAAAAACTGCTGGGCTCCACGAACGCAGTGTTCAGAATTCATTTTAAGTAAAAACCTTCTAAATTCCGCAGTAGTTATAGATTTACGAGCTTTTCATGGCAGAGGAAGTGACTAACATCATCTGTTCTTTCAAATTCGATGCCAAAATAAAAAAATAATAAATTAGTTAAATGTGTGGTAATTCATGTCGGCGAGAAGCGACAGCGTTGTATAAAGCCCCCAAAAAAGTCACGCTAGTGTGGAACATAAAATAAAGCGAAATATTTTTAGCTGAGATTGTGACCAAAAAAAAAGGTCCATTTTAATACAATATTTTCCGTTTTCTCGCAGAAAATATAGCAAATCTGAGCCGGAAATGAGTGAGAATCAGTGCAGTATGGGAATGCTGAGCTTCAAGTTTGTGATTTTTGCACTAGTTGTGTCTCTATTCACGACTATCGCCCTAAATGCCCAACCAGTGAGACAAACCGAGTCACTTCAACAAAACAGGAGACTCGCATCGCAAAACCTGGATCGACGCCAATTTAACATGCCTCAAAATGAACGGTGGGTCGATTTCAAACAAGAATTGAACCGTCGAAGTCAAACCAAGAGACCCAAGACAACTACGAAGAAGCCCAACAGTGATCCTTACAATATCATCAACCCGCCGGTGAAACCCTGTCCAGAAGGCTGGTTCATTGACTATGAGGGAAACTGCGTTCAAGGTTTCAACTTCTCGGGGCGAAGAAAGTGAAAACAGGAGCCTGAAAGTTTCTAGTGAAAAATAAAATCAAGTCGTTGCATTTTGGCAACGTCTGAATTTAGTGCGACATGAACACCTGCAATCCTAAATATCGTGTGAAACTATAAGGAAGTTTGTTTTCTAAATGTCAAGTTATTCCAGTGTGTTTTTTATTTCATTTATGAACGTGTGTGAAATCTAACTGACGAAGAATAATTCATGAAATTCGTGGCCCAGGATGTTGTCCGTATCTTGCCGTGTCGTGACATTCTTTCAATCATTCTTCTAATGATTCTTCGATGACGTTTTCCATCAACAACTGGGCGACCTTCAGATTATGCCGACTGGTTATTTATTTTTCACTGGGTTATGCTGATGATAAGTCATTCAGTTTTGAAGGTTTTTGGGACGTGAATCAGGGATATTTCCTTTCTAGCAGAAGTATATTTTTCTGGATCAGCAACTGATTACAGAATTTCGATCATCGTGTTTGTAGTAATCGTGAGTTGCAATAAAAGCTCGAAATTGATTACCGTGAGTCGTTCTGATTGCTTCGGGGTATTAATTCATTTAATAAAATGATACCAGAATATTTCAACTTTTTTTTAGCGCAATAATCATGTGAAACGAACAGATCGTGTGAAGAGAGTCGTTAACTTAATTACATCGCTTGACTGAAAAATATATCAGACTGATGAAACTATTCTGCTATAATTGCATTTTTGATATTGGTTGGGTGTGTTTTTCTGCGGAATTTCTGCGCCAATTGTGCTTCCCGAAGACGGAGAAACTTTTGATTGGCCGTTTTTCAACAATGTGGAAATGTGACGAATAAATTTTGAAAACCTCACGCGTTTTTTTAAATTTCGTTGATTCATGGAATACAAAAAAAATGCAGCATGAAATGTTGAATTGACTTCATAGTTGATTTTCGAACGAAGGAAGTCGAAATTTCGTCAATTATTCATTAGTTTGTAAGTTCATTGCCTGGATGTTTCGTAGAAACTGCGGCATAAACACAAGCTGACTCAGCGCGGAAAAAACACACCATATGGCACGGATGCAAAAGGGAAGCCCGTGAACTAGTCCGTGATTCTAGAATATGTAGAAGGAAGTTTGGTTTAACCGAGAAACGTGACGAAGCATTTTCTGATAACTAACCTTTTAAAAAAAAGCAGACATTAGTAATGCACATAATAAGACGACCAGCAACCACGGTGGTATATCAGCAACGCCGTTGCAGTCGGTCATTCCTGGCGCTGGACGCGTTTCTGATAACGTCTTTCTGTGCTTCCTTAGATATAATCGTATAACTCACATGTATGTCAAGCATGGTCAGAGTTTTTCAAAGTGCAGCTAAGTAGGTTGTGAAAGATGAAGGGTTATTTGCTGTGTACAGTGAAACCCCAAGATGCAGATGTAATTGGTGCGTCAAGAGTGTCCCTAAGTCAAATGTCCCTAAGTCGAGTCTCATTTTCCCTTAGACTTACATTATATAATTTTCAATTGGTGTTTTATGTACAAAATACTCCCCAGAATTCCATGAAAATAAAAGTGGTCTCCCAATTCAAACTGATTCCAATCAATATATTTCAACACAATATGGGCATTTGGGGAATTGAATACTGATACCTCTGTACAGTACTGTACATAGAAATGTTAGCATCTCTGTAAAAATAATATCCACGTGAAAAAGAGAGAAGGAAGTCCCTCTCTGCTGAAGGTAATTTTTTTTCAATTAGCTAAATGGATGATGAATTGGTGAGAGAAATGCCCAAGAACTTTTCTTACTTCAATTTTAGGGCTGGAAATATCTGTTTCTTGTAATTTGGCCTGAAATGTATTTGCAGTTTTTAACAAAGCATCCCTATGTTGAGTCAGTGTCCTCATCTTGGGCCTTTTTTATTAATTTTTTATGATAAAATAAGTGTGCCTATGTCAAATTGTCTGCAGGTTGAGGTGTCCACCTGTGGGGGTCTCACTGTACAATACTATGAAGATGAGAATATCAAGTGAAACAGCAGTGACTGTTGGAGAATTTCCCCAAGCAAAAGAGAATTTAGGAGTAAAACACCACAATCAGCCTGGAACTGGCTGGGACCCTCTTATTATATAATAAAATTATTGTATGATAAGATTTTTTATATACTTATCATGAAATTCTCAAAGAAATTTTTATTTATTTACGTCCCAAAAGAATCAACAGCTCAGCGTCTTCTTCAATAAAAATACACACACAAAATAATCCACACAATTTCTGCTAGAGGAAGTGGTGCAAGCAGTGATGGAAGCTAAGAATGGGAACAATATTCTGAAAAAAGAATGTGCTGTTGATTTCAAATTTGTGAAGCTTTCACGCATTAATGAGAAAGGGTTGCGTTAAACTTTTTCTTGGTGGAGGTTGGGATTCTTTGATGCTTTCTGATTGGCCATTTACGTCAAAATCAAATATGATGTTCAGCATTGTTGTACAAGTTTTGAGGGTTCTTGGGGGCAAGTTCTTTGGTGCTGGGCTCTCAAAAAGCCCCAGCACCAGTTTCAGGAATGCAGGGCAGTTTATTGATATAATTATTCATGGGCACGGGCCTCAGTCCCCAACTGTCTTTTTCATGTTTGAATATTGTAAAAAGTTGAAATTACCTCATGCATCCTTTCTGCAAATTATTTCATTATTTTAGCCTGACTTTGTTTGATACAACACACGCTGGTTATTACAATGAAGTTGCACAGCAGAGGAAAGATATATTCTCCGTTTCAATCGGATTTCTTTAGATCCATCAGCAGTTGATGGAAGCAGGAAAAAGTCAAAAATATTGTTCTATTTTTTAAATACGGTGACATTCATAATGGAGCAGAAAAAGCAAAATTTGATTGTAGAGGGAATCGTGTTCCCATATACTGTTTTTCTGGAGATTATTGAAACAATTCTCAGACCACTCAAAATGTTCGCGTTGAACAATGTGAATTGTTGTTTGTCTTGATGTTTATTGATTTAAATTCATTCCAATTGTGCATTTTAACTGAGCCAATCTTCAAACAAACCCCTTGAACCATTGGAAGGAAGTCTTACGCAACTTCCTTCCCATTTTTTAGAATAATCTTACAATTATAACTCATTTTAATTTTCTCGAATTAATCCTCCAGAATAATTCAACTGTTTCATGATAAACGGCTTCCTAAAAATGCTCAAACTTTTAGGTTTTCCCCTATTTTCATAAAGGTGCATCATTCTTTAAATACAAAATGTTCGTCCTCCGAGGAGGGATTATTCAAAGTTGCCGTCTGAGAATCCTTTTAAAGTTTTCTTAAACATGTTTACAAGGACGATTCTTGTCATTGACTCAGTCACTGGGTATACAGTATACTTTTGTACCTTATTGAATATAGTCAATATAACACGGATTGATTTTAAATTTAAAATGGATTTCATATGCTATCGTTTCGGAATTTTTTTAACGTATGGATGACGTTTATTTTCTAAAATGCAAAATCTAATTATGATGCACGAATTCTGTGATGTGATAGCAGATAAGTTTCGAGTTTCCGGGTGCCGGGCGTAAAATTCGCAAGAAATGGAATTCAAGCGGCTCGTTTTCGGCGCATTAACTTTGCTGCTGCTGATCGTGACATTGTGCGGAATTGCCCTGTCGTCACCGGTCGAGCAGCTATCGGAATTGCAGAGGAATTACAGGCCACCGACACCTGTGCGCCAGTACTTGCCGACAATCAACACGAAGCGACACAATTTCCTTTGCAAATTGCACAAGCAAAATCGAGGTGACGATAATTCGGAAGAAGACCCGACGTCCACACCGAAGGCTCCCGTCGCAATATTGAACATCGTGAATCCTCTGCCTCGTCAGTGTCCCGACGGCTGGTTTCAAGATTTTGACGGAAATTGCGTCGAGGGTTTCAGTTTCAATTTGGGACGCCGAAGATGATATTTGATAACAACAATATTGCATACATTTTGAAGAGCAACTATCTTTTTTTTCTCCCTGCTTTGAGCACATGTAGTGACAACTTGACAAACTTCGGGTCGAGATTAATAAGTGCGCATTTTCCTCTCGGGTTTTTTTTTTTCAACGATGAAATTAATTAGATCCTGTTTCACTAAACCCTATACAGAAATGTCAGATTTCACATGGTTGTGTTGTGATTCGGAAATGAAGCGGTCTACGAAGTACCTGTAAAATTATTCTTACATTTTAATGCTTATTTCACATTTGCAGGGAGGACCAAAAAAAAGTAGGCGGAGATTTACGAAGGAATATCTCACAAAGGAGACTTCGCTGGTTATTTCATAAAATTAACGCATACAATTGCTAATTCTTAGGAGATATTGCTCTTCAAAAATTTACCGACTCGTTTCAATCTCACTCTGTGAAGGTCCTCCATCAATGCGATTGAAAACCTATACCGGAGTCCCAGTAGAAAAAAAAAAAACTTTCACATTTGATTTTATTTCAAATGATGCTGTCGAATACAAAAAAGTACAGTTGAGTACTGGAATGAGAAATACAGTAGTTTTTCTCACTAAATGTATTTAATTTCAATCATGCTGTGTTCACCATACATATTTTCGCTGGTACATCTTTTTAAAGTCAAATGGAAAAGTCAATAGTCAACTTAGGGCGAAAAGCGGCTGAGTTCCTTTATTAAGCTATTTTACCGACATGATGAATAAACCATGGGTTTGCCTCGAGACTCTCGCACAAAATAAACTTCCAAATCTTGACGAAGATTCCGGAAAGTCTTAATTAATTATTTTCTTAATTAATTATTAATTATTAATTAGTCTTAATTAATTATTTTCAGACAAAAAGCAAACTGAAGGCGACCCCAAATTTTATGCCCAACAAGCAACCGTACAGTTCTGACTTTTAAGCATACATCTTCAACTGCCAAATAATAAAATCGCACTTTTATCCTTTTAAAAAGATCCTGAGTGATTTATTGATAATTTTCAGTATGGCATCCATACGAAACTCGCCGAGACTTCCATTCTTTTGCCCCGAGTTGAACAAGCATTAAAACCAAGGTCATGGTTCACGATCGTCGAAATTCACAGAAATGATGGCACGCATTGAGAAAGCCGAATGCTATAAATGAACATTTTCTAATGTTACGATTATGCAATAGTAACTGGTTCAGAAGAAATCGAGTTCGTTCTTGAGGGTATCGTATTTTGGGATTTCATTTCATCCTTCGAAAGTGCGCCTGCTTGTCGTAGAATATCGATTATTCCTTGATGATTAAACAATTTAGCATCATCCAGTGGTGTTTGTCCCCATCTGTAATGAAAGAGGAGAGTTGCATTAAATTCAAAGAAAAACAAAATGAAAAAAGATTATTTCGTTTGTTGCCGTATTTTTGCTGAAAAATTTTAAATTCACTGGCTTCGTTTAGATTAATTTTTATCAAGTTCCGGAACACAGGTCGCTAAAATGATATGCGACTGTAATTATTCTATTGAATGAAGAGTTTTTAAAACAACTAAATTAATTTACTATATTTCAACGATATAAGCGATTCGCGTCAGGAATCCCGAGGAAATGTTTTGAATAATGTAAAGGTAGTTTCAATTACCGTAAATATTGTCCTCGTATCTCTCAAGCAGTTTTTCGCAGAAGTCGGTTTTCGAAATCTATGCGTATTTTCTCTCTGTTAGTATCTTCGGATGCATTTTTGATTTAAGATATTTTTAACTCAACCTTTTGAACAAAACTCAAGTATTAAAGGAAATTCAGACTAGCATGACACTACATTTATATGTATGTTCCAGGACTGATGAAAGGACGATCATTTAGCATCCGCCACGACAATAACACAAATAAATAAAAAAGTGTACAAAAGCTTTTCGCCCAGACGCTCAAGATGAAAGAAATCTGAGAAGAAAGTATTGCACAGTATTCGTAATTATAAGTCGTCCTTCAAATATTACAGTACTGACGTCATGTTGCATGAAGTTAAAAAAAAAACCTTCCAGAAGTAAAACAGAAAATGAAAGCGCATGTCGTGAAGGCCTGGATAAAAAATGCATCGTAGATTCGTAGTTCCAAATGAGCTGCCATCACTGAACTGACTTCTCGAAATCTTAAGAAAGGGAATCCGTGAAAGTGATCACATTTTCCATCATTTTTAAAGGCACGAAAAATGAATTACTTTAATCGGTGGTGATCTTACCGTTTACATTATGCAAGCGAATGCGGCATAATATTTTACGTCCCCTATAAGTTGGTCCCTAAACAGTGTAGTTGTAATCTATAATACTGTATTTATGTTTCACAGTCAAATTTCCGTGATGCCGAAGACGCAAGAAAGATAAAAAGATATTGTTTTTTACTTATATGTACTGTAGATGGTAATTCACCTTCTTCATTTTCCAACATGTCTAGCATCCAATTGATCGGTCTGAGTATAATCGAAATACCAACGTATTGTTTTAAAAATGTTCCGGGTAATCCGAAATTTGATCACGTATAGAATAAAATAATCTATCATTTTTCAAAAGTGACGAAATAACGTGTCGGCGTTGTGATATAAAATCCACACGTTGGGAAAGGAAATCATGACGCAAAACAAAGAAACAGAAGGAAGCCACTTCCGTGTTTTACCTGTCCCTCGAATTGGGATCCACTTTGCAAGTCTTGACGAGGAATTCGACGCACTCGGTGTGGCCTTCGGCCGCCGACAAATGCAACGGCGTCCTTCCGTCGTAGTCGGCCGTATTGAGATTCATTCCGGACATGAAGAAGCGCCTCATCGCCGTGACGTCACCCGAAGCAGCAGAGAACAGAATCGCCACCACGGCTTCCGACTTTTCGTACACCTCCGCCATGCAAGGGTCAGACTTCATCTTGTCATGCTTCGCATTGTCGAAATGATGGAACGGGAAAGCAGTCACTATTTTCTGCAGAATACGATTTAAAAATAAATAAATAAAGCAAAATAAATACATGGTGGAATTTCACGATAAAATTTCTTCTGACGAGGACGGCATGACGAGACAGCAGTCTCAACAGTAACGATTGTTTTCTACTCGTTTTGCATTAACAGGCAAGCAAGGGCGTGTATAACAGTTCAGTACAGTACTTACTCGAGTACAACGCGCCTTCAAGTAAAACACACACGCCCCAATTTTTAACCGTACAATTTTGATGAAATTCTACCCCTGAGTAAGACGCGCGATCCATTTTTGGTAACAGGAAAACTACAATATTTCAAAACTGGAACAGCAGAATTCAAAATTTAGGCATGGATCCAGCCTGGATTTAATTAATTTTCATTTGTTTTGATTTTTTTTAATGTTCCAATCAAAATATTCCCATTATATTCAAATGTGAAACGTGCTGAATTTCTAAAACTTTATTTTTAATAATCCCATCCCCGCATGTGATGCGCACCGCCCCCATTTTTATCTGCTCAATTATCAGAAAAAACGATGCGCGTGACACACAATTACGGTTTATAAAGACGAACCTTAATTGTCTGTTATTCTATTAACATTTCAAATAGTTCACGGGAAACAACATTTGGATTTTTTCAAGCTCTGTAGTGTTGAAATATCGCAAGCAAAACGTGAGAATTCTGTGTGTATCGCAATTTTGAAAATATTCTTCCGCCAGTAATTTCCGTAAATATTTCCGATATGATTACAGTAATTCTTATTTAATCATCCTAGGCTAAGAGAAATACTTCAGGCAAGTAGGAATAATACGTTCGCGTCTTCTTTAATTCCTTAAATTCATACATTTTTCTGATATTACAACGAACATAACCATAATTTTTCCGCTACCTTGGAGACGATTTCTATGTTAATTATTCCAAAATAACCGAATGAAAACTACTTTCAGGGCAAGCATTTTATCCGTTGAAAACTATGTTCCATAAAGAAGCTGTTTTCTTTATAAAAGATACTGATCCCCATTAAAAGAATTGACATGATGAAAACAGATAAAAGTCACTTAAAAAAAATGTCAAGCTTTAAGACGAGGCCTTAATTGTCGGATACCATACAGAAATAATTTCCAAGGCTCATTTATCAGAGAATTTTCTCTGGTGAAAAAAAATGATGTTCCACGAGGAATAATTAGCTTTTGTCTGCAGAAACGACATTACAGTACAGTATTGCAATGGCTTTTTTCATATCACAACTAGAGTGAGAGAAAGAGAGAAGAAGAAAAGGACAAGTTACCTGACAAAATTTCAAGCCTCGAGTCGAGACGTCGAACTTGTCCACAGGCGGGGACCATACACAAAATCCCAGCACATTCGGCAGCTGCTGGTACTAGCGGGGACTGAGCCGCCGGAAGCGGCAGTAGGGCTGAAGTTTCCGCTTAAACGGGCTCATCGGGAAGTCCGGCGTCGACACGTAGTCACTGTCTCACAGTCACTGCCGCAGTGTACTCAGCACAGTCTCGCCGGTGATGGGATTAATGCCGCCATTGGCCAACGTGGCAGCAACAACCGCCAACGCCTCACATGTCCCCTCCATTGCCCGACACTTGGCCAGAAATATACGCAAAAAAGTTAAGATTCAGTATGCTATATATTAGATGAACTTTTCGTTTTCTAACTGCATGAGATGAACCTCTGTAAGTCGAATTTCTATAAGGACCAGGAAAAAAATTCGACTTCAGGAGGCTTTGATTTTTGGAGGTTTCCAGTTGTCGAAACAAACACTTTTGTTGTGAGAAGTGAAAAAAGTGTGGGAAATCATAAATGAGGATATTCTGGGCCAAAACTAGCTCCTTAATGAGTTTACACCTTCCTGAGCTTGAAGGCACGGGTTCATTTGCTATTTTAGTCTTTCAATTCATTTCAAGATGCATAAAATTATTTGTTTTAATCGTGTTATCTTCCATAGTTCAAGGAAATAATAACCAGAAAGACCTCAGAAAATTTGTACTTGCAGAGATTCTAAAAAAAATTCGAGTTAGGGTGGTTTTTAATGTTTTGATTCTAAGGGAATTCATGACGGGCTTGTTTTTTTGAGTTGAACCCCTCCTTAATCTGAATCTCTCCAAGTTGAATAACTCCAAGTGGACATTGTTGTACTAGTCCGCGGCATCTTGGATCTAATGGGCCCGACGCTAATTACGCCCCTGTTAATAAGGTCGAGCCATGCCAGAGAAAAACAAAATCATCAACACAATTACCTGGTGCACTACAGTATTTACTTGATTACCACGTGCCCTCGAATGAGGCAGGCACCAGACTTTTCAAACCTACAATTTGGATAAAAATGTGAACTCAAGCAAGACGTCCTCCTAATTTTAAGAAATAATAAAAATTGAAATATTTTCAAAATAAAATGCATCAGAATTTACATTTTGACCCTAGTTGTAGTCAAATTGAATGTTAATGATCATCATTTCCGTTTTTAAGTTGTCCGTAGAAATTGGATTAAATTTTTCTCTTTGAATCAAGTACGAGGTGCACCAAAGCTTTAAAATGCTATACCCGCTTATGACGCACACCTTTTTTTCTTAATTTCGCAGAAAGGTGTGTGTGGTACTTGAGTAATTATACGATAATTACGGTATAATTGGAACCTATATCTCTCCCTTTTTGTTTGACAGATTACGAAGGATAACACACTGAGATTCTTGGGAAAAAGGAATAAAGTGTTTAATCGGATTATTTCTTTCAAATGGTTTTTCCTTTTTAAGAACTTTTTGTAACAGCAGTCAAGTATCCGTGTTATTTAATTTTTCAGGTAGAGGTTTACTGGTCATTAGAAAGCATGATCAAAATTATGCTTTATAGTAGAATATTGATTGACTTATAGGTACGTTTTCTCCCGAAGATTGAACATTCATTCTTCAATGATAGACAATGAAAAAAATTCTCAAGGATGAAAATATGATGCATGGATTGACGATGGCATGTTACCAACACATTCGCACTCGTCGAAGATTAAGATACTCTGTGTCCTCTGAATTGATTAAAACTTTGACACAATCCTATAAACAAGCTCGGGGCAATTAAAGTTCTGTAATAATTCATGTAATCCATGAAGAATATTACGAAATGTAAATATAAAATGAGTCAGGTCAGAAAATGGTGAACCCCAGGCAGCTAAAAAAAATCACTTGAACATGTGCTGTTATTTTTAAGCAACGAATGCACGAATTTTTTTTTTAACATAGTTCCGAAGAAATGGAACAAGAGTGAAATATTATAATTCACTATACCTGGAGATACAATTCCATGCAAGACTCGAGGTTGACCGTGGAAGGGAAGCTTTTTGTTTCCCGCATGTAGAACGCTTGCGCATAATTTCCATCCGCTCGATGTCGGAGCCCGATGTACGCTGAGTTGTTGAAAGTCAAGGGCAATCCACCGCATGCTTTCTGTCGCATACATAACACGGGTCGATTCCAAAGAAAAATTGAGTGCCACTGCACGAAACAAAAAATAATTAAAAGCACGAATGAAACTTCATCGACTTATGGGTGAGCTTCTGGAGGCTCATAAAGTACAGGCCAACTCGCTCAAAAACGTCGTTCGTCCGCTAGTAATAAGGGGGGCGTAGATAGTAGCCTAACACCGGTCGGTCTGTTCACGAATGAAGAATTTTTTTTAAATTTGGAAGTCAGTTCATAATTTTACGTAAATTCAATTTTCATTAGCCACGTCATTTACTGTACAAATAATTATACCGCATCAGCACATACGGTAATATCTTAGTTATTTTTCTCACTCGGCAAAACGTATTCGAGACTTTTTATACATTTCTGAAAATTACGCAGGAAAAAAAATTAACTCGAGACAACTGCAGAACTGCGCTATTTCGAGCCTTGCGTTTTTCTGAAGTATTGTACCGTAAGTTCCTTTTCAACATTACATTAAGACTTCCTTGGAAAAAAAAACAGGACAGCATTCGGTTTACAATAATTGTCACTATATCTCGCAGGATTATAAAACTACCGTTGTATCGAAAGATAGAAAGCTGGTTCATTATGTTCGTTCATCCTCATTTTAATGATGATCACCATCCATACTTTCTCTTTTTGCACATGACAGTTACGGCGTTTTGTGCTTCTTTTTTTTCCTTCCGCAACATTTTCTTTTAATTCTACGCTCCTTTTCATTCGTTCATCCTCATTTTAATGATGATCACCATCCATACTTTCTCTTTTTGCACATGACAGTTACGGCGTTTTGTGCTTCTTTTTTTTCCTTCCGCAACATTTTCTTTTAATTCTACGCTCCTTTTCGTGAGGATCTAACAACGAGAAGTTGTCTAATTTAGTTTTACATCGACCTCTCCAGATCCAAGAAGACAAACGGTTTTAAATATATTGATGAAATCAGGAATCAGTGAATAAAACTTACTATTCGAGTCCACAGCAAGTTCCGAACAATTCCGTCCACTTGGTTCCTGCCCAACGTACTCGTGGACTTCGTCCGAACTCAAATGCGTTCTCGCCAACGAGTAAGTTAAAACATTGCTGAAAATTTAGAACTGAGTTTTTCCGAAAACGTAGAAGATGTTTCAATTGAAATTCTACCTGCATGACAGAAGAAGAAACGGATCTTTCGCATCGCCGATAGAAAATCGTTGCCCATCCGTGGAACAGATAGAAATCCCAAACGCGTCCGGATTAATGCTTGCTGTCTGGCGAATCAACGGATATGGCTGAAATACAATAATGGTTTGTTTACTGATCACGTTCCTATGAAAAATTAATATTCATTGTAAAAAGTGTTTTAAGAGATTAATGGAGAAATCCATTCGTAATTAGTCTGGCGAATCAACGGATATGGCTGAAATACAATAATGGTTTGTTTACTGATCACGTTCCTATGAAAAATTAATATTCATTGTAAAAAGTGTTTCAAGAGATTAATGAAGAAATCCATTCGTAATTTACTGTACTTCACCGCGTCGGTCGAATTTGGGTGAGCTCACTATTGAATGCGAATTGATTTACAGCAGAGTTATTGTACTGCGAATGTTCGCATTAAAATCTTACCTGCCCTCCTAGTTCCATGGATTTGCACTCAAGAAAAAATTGTTTGACGATGGCGCAAAATTTCCTGAACTCTGGCAGCACGAATTTCGAACGCAGAGCTTTGGAAAGCATCATCCGATTTTGCTTTACCAAACTGTGAAAATAAGATTCGTTTTCTTCGTCATAATTTCTTTTCAAAATTGCCGTATGTAATAATGCGTACGAAATGAACGTTGACTTCTCCAGGGTCAAATTTTCGATCAACACGGGTTCGCCATCTTCCGATTCAAAGCTTTTCTCCATCGCAACTTGCGATAAATAATCCGTAAATTCTCGCAGTCTTGGGTCGTCCAACTTAATTCCTTGCTCGTCCAGCGCCTACAAAAAATGCATATTTTTCAATATTTGTTCATATAATCAATTTTTCGGTTTCGAGTTAAGTTATCTCAACCGGAATAAAAATTTCTGACGCTTGAGTTTTAAGAACTGGAAACGGAAACTATAGCGAATGCATTGATTACACGCATTGACTTCTGATGGACATTAGCGAAGAAGAAAATACCTTGATAAGAACCCGGACAGCAACTTTTCCTTCGTTGTTGAAAATGTTGTAAACCGTCTCTTCAAAGTTAACAATCACTTTCCCTTCGCCTCCAAGTCTGCAAATGCATAAGTTCATAATCGAGAGTTCGTTTCTGTCATGAAAGGTCAGCATTGATTGACTCACGATTGATTACTGGCACGCCTCTCCAGGAATCTCCCGAGCTTCTTGTCATGCATGAAAACTTTTTTGCCGATCTTTTTCTCCATATTTCGAGGTTAAAAGTTTATTTCCTCAGTGTACACAGAGATTTAAAAAAATGAAATCAGAAACCTTGTTCGCAGTCCACACTCCACAGTTGAGGATCACGACTGCAGGTCCAACAGGAAACGTTCGTATGACTACACTATGTTTCCAGAACAATCGGAAAAGCGCATAATGTGGTTTCTGTCGCGGTCCAAAAGAAGTTCGGGTTCCGTTCCGAGATCTGATTTCCGTATTTGCAAAAGGCGCAATGACCTTGCATTTATTCTTCTCCGACATGTGACGCGCATTTGAATCAACAAGGATTCGCGCGTCTCCGGTAGGAGTTCTATTTATCATGCGAAACTTATTACAGGAATCACAATTCACAGGTCGTCGTCCTCGTTCGAAACGGTAGAGACAATGTATCCTAATCGCGAAATTCCCAACAAATCGCCTTCTGCTGATTAAAAAAAAAAAAGTCAAGGCACTCTAGGGGTTCCCGAGCTTTTACTTTAGAATGCAATTTACAAATCACCAGCCTCATACTGCATAATCTTGATTCTTGCGTTGGCCTTTAATGATGCACACGCTTAATTGGAGATTTTGAACTTTTTTTTTGGAGTACTACCAATCGAAATTTGTATTCGAATTACGGTGGTGAACTATGTTCAACAGCTTTTTTTTTACCTAGAGGTTTTTCGCAAGTGTCTTCGACTTATACTTCAATGTCAGCACTGTTCTATGGTGCACATTCAAATGGATGAAGGCTCTTCTAGAGAGAAGTAAAGTATATTAAATAGTTATATTTGTTAAACCCAATACAGTTGTCTTCCGAAGAGCTGAAAATGCTAGGACTAATTTAAAATTCTGCGTGACAGAATGAAATTTACACGGAAGACAATCATCCTTAAATAAGAATCGGCATCGCTTGAAAAGGTGATACGGGGAAAAGCTGTTGAAGGGTCACACTGTACAAAATTTCTGACAGACTGAGAGAGTCTCTAGTTCTACCCAAGGAAATTGCCTCAAGGTTATACTGCGTCGCTTTTAAACTGTACAATTTTACCTTTATCCCCAGCTTATCAGCCTCAGCTTCAAAATCAATTAGACTTCGTTTATATCAAGAATTAATAATTTATTAATGGACTGCAATCGTGCCTAGTGGGACTAAGACACCTGGGCACCATCTTCAGGCCCCAACCAGGCAGAATGGCGACCAAGCGGAGATTCAGGGAGCTGTTGGACGACGATTGCTGCGGGGTGTGTCCCCCGTGCAGCTGCTGCAAGCCAGTGACCTGCTGTTGCCCGCCTTGCTGTCCAGTGCCCAATTGCTGCCCGTGCCCGACTCCGAAGCCCTGTTGCCTTTACCCACCGTGCGACCCGAAGCCGCCAGAGTGTCCGGGCACGTGTCCGACGCCCGTGGCGTGCCCGTGCAAGGGCTGCGTGTACCCGGACCCACCGCCGCCGTGCCCGACGCCCACTCCGCCAGTGTGCCCCATCCCGCCTTGCGGATGCATCCCGTATATTAAACCCAGGCCGTGTTGCTGCATGCCGCCTTGCTGCATACCTGAGCCGTGCACGCCACCCTGCCCGCCGGCGCTGTGTAAGCCGCCCAAGTATTGCGACGACGCGGATGATGCGGTGCGACAGCGATGCGATGATTCGGACGCAAATGCGTCTTATTGCCGCAGCGGGTCTTCTACGGGATTCACCGGATTTGTAAGATTTTCCGAGGAAAAAAGCTTCGATTTTTTCCATGCGATTCCTGTCGAATTGATCGAAGCGATGATTCGGACGCAAATGCGTCTTATTGCCGCAGCGGGTCTTCTACGGGATTCACCGGATTTGTAAGATTTTCCGAGGAAAAAAGCTTCGATTTTTTCCATGCGATTCCTGTCGAATTGATCGACGGCATTCAAGCGTGCAACTCCGCTTGCTTATTTTTGACCCCAACTATAACTGCTATATCTGTCCAATGTTCATTCGCGCTTATTTACCGTAATACGGTGCTAAACTAATTCTTGATGTCTGTTCTGTTCTTCCATCACCCACAAATTCTGGTGATCAAATTATTTTTCAATTTAAAAGACAAAAAAATATTACTTTTTATAATTCGTTCAATTGACCAGCTGATTTCTGCAGTGTCCCGTGTCCGTATACTTTCCTTCCAATGTCTGCTGAAAAGTTGAAAAATCTGACAGCGTGCAAAAATCAGACTTCCTCATCGATCAAGATGATGCGAACCTGATCTATTCAAAGTAAAATTTACACGATGTATGCGTCCACTCATCCCAACATACTGTAGTCTATAACCCAATAGTAAGCTTTGACTGTAAACACTCGACTGCCGTAATTTTCAAAAATGCTGAATAATCTAGAGATAACTCGATTAAAATTCAGACGAGACTTGAGTTATTGACATAACTTAAGGTCTGATTTGATATTTAATGAAGCCCAGGCTGTTTGGATCATAAAATGAATTGGTTTCTATGTGAATAACCGAACGATGAACCAATTACAATTTATAGTCCGGCGATTTATGCATGGCACCTGGGACAATCAACTCAACCCTAGTTGAGAATCGTTCAATCGAAGCAGTCCCTCAATCAGACTGAGGAATGTGTCCGCCGTGTCCTATTTGCCCCTTTCAGATTAAGAACAGCGGCACTAGGCTAATCCCTGGCGGCTTTTGCCAGAACCATCAATGATACGAAGTAAAAATCCATATTGAAAAGGTTTCCCCAGAGAATCTTGAAAAAATGACGATGTAGTCCAGCTCGCGCAAGATTTTTTGAATAATTCTGAGTCCTTTCCTTGCCGGACTCAAAATCTCATTCCTCTTTCTCCTTTCAGCAACGAAATGAAGTGCTAAGGAATCAGAATGGATGTGAGTTGTGCTACCAGGCTTGCCCGCAAGTGATGTCTCCGCCACCGTGCCGAATTCCATCAACATTTTTCCAGTCCACTTTCCGAGACGAAGACTTCGAATTCACACCTGCTCGTAACTCCGCTTCGCAATCTCTTCAAAGCAGGAGAGACTTGACTCAGAACTACGCACAGAGGAAATACCAGTAGCTAATGCTTGCTGCTCCTCTTTTGCTTCCCCATCAGTGAACCAATCGGTAGCGAGTACTGTACTTGTAGCAACGCGTGTGTTTCCAGAGTGACTCCACTTCCGGCTCAACTTTTCATCTCTTGATACTTTCTGCACATCTTCATTTTTTTCTTCGAATTGCGGGTTATTTACTCTGCGCAATATTTGGACTTCGGTTTACAATGCACACGCACGATTTTTTTACTGAATGACGCTAAAATACTTCGTGGGCGTATGAGCATGAATACATCATGCCTTAATCAGATGCGTTCGTTTTTTCACCGAGGGATTTTTTCCCCTGCTCAAATACAATACTGTAGTGCGTTGAACGCTTAGCGACAGTTGCAATGAAACTT